TAGACTAGTCATGTCGGGCGTCACTCCTTATTTTTTGCTCGCCTGGGCACGAAACATAGAAGTCAACATATTGTATCGTTTTTCTGAATTTCATAAAAAGTGCAGAATTTTTTTAAGGATGTCTCTGTCTTTTATTGTGTTGTTTCATTTATAGGTGTTGTATAAAAATAAATGATATATCAGTCGAAAGGGGACAAAAAGTGCTATTTTTTGGTTAAAAAAAAAACAAAACTTTCTTTCAGCGTCTTTCTATCGAAGTGAAATAGTGAACAACATTTTATGCCATTAACTTTGCATCATGCGTTAGCTACTTTTCTGAAGGAATAATTATATCTTCTCAGAAAACAACACCGATTGCACTTCGGGAATGAAGAACTCTTTGCGCTGGATGTGTCAGAATTATTTTATAAGTTTTCTGAATAATTTTATCTATGAATATCAATTGTGAGCTCATAAAAAGTAGTCGTTTTACATGCAAATCTGCAAAATATGCTTTTTGTGAGTGTAGTTTTTTTTTGACTTGAACGATGCGTTCCTTTAACGAGTATTGTTACAAAATTGCGTGTTAGCGCTGGAGTCATTCGGACGACAACAAGAATCAGTTCTACATTACCGGAATTACTTGGCACTGCTCCACATGATGATTATGCTTTTTACTAGACTACCAGTCTCTTCCAACATAGTCTGATAAATAACGTCCATAAATTTCTTACATACATCATTTTTTGATGACATATATGCAATTGATGCATCAGATCTCTTTCAACAGAATAATATACAATCGTCAATTTCCGTAGTTTAGGTACAAATTATCGTTTCTTTGCATATTCGGATATTTACAAGAAACATGAAACAATACTCACTTTCGCCTATTCGGTTTGTATGAAACACACTATTGCCGTTTAATGTGAAATCAAAAGTAAGTGGTCGCTTTCTTGCACGCAATAACGACTATTTTTTCTCTTTCTTTCTCACTGTTCGTATAAAAATGAATTGGATTTTTCTCAAAGAGAGTAGTTGCTGTACATCTCGATGAATTTTTTACTGCTTGATTAAATTTCGGTTGAAAAAAAAAGTGAATAGGTATTCGCAGTTCAGAAACATTCAGTTACTAGATTTTTTTTTTGTTGTTGAGTAAGAAATTGGAAGACGTGTTATTCAGTAGTGACTTTTTATTAGCAAGAACAATATTTAACGGCCAATGATGTTGTTCGTCTTATCTTGAGAATGAGTTATTGCGCCCAACGATTTCCCTTTTAGAATACTTAGAATAAATATTTTTGTGTAGCTCGTCGTCATAAGCAAGATAGACAATCTTGCATTCATATCGTCTCGGAAGAAACCATTCCATGATGACAGACTCTCAGCGAAACTCAACTACGTAATACAATTAGCATATCCCATTTTTTTGAAGAATCAACGTATGACATTCTTACATGATGAACTACATTGACAAGAAAAACCTCCTTTTTTTCATCTATCTTCAATGATGGTAGATCTACAATCAAATGAAATATTCATCATTGTATGATTTATTTAGTCTAATAGGAATGCTAATTATCCACTGAACAATCCGTATATTAATCAACTATACATTCAATATTGTCTAATTCTCAAAACAATAACTTAACATTTGCATCGATTCGGCATCGCTGTATAACGTCATGCGTTTAACATTCACACCCTCTTTCGATGTCTGAGTTGTATTTACTCGAATTTCGAGAACCTGTTAACAAGAAAAACTGATGTGATTATCTGTTAATCGACAGGTAAATTCAAAGTAGGATAGAGGCCTTCCGAGCAAAACGTTTTGATTGATAGACTCAATAATCATCTTCTTAAGAAACCTAGCTATGCTTGTTCAAGTACAGACAAAATTCAAAGCGTGATTAATTCAGAACACATCCATGATAGTAACGAGAAAAATCTTACGGTCATATTTTTTTTGCGACACGAAACACAATACTTTGATATTCATTGTTTGTATTGCTTGAGCTTCCAACTGTCATTCGTTGAATAAATGTTAACAAAAACGACTATTTTTCATTCAATCTCCGCACCAATTCGTAGTTGCATTCAGACAGACTTTAAAGTGAGTTCTATTCTCGTTATCTTTTGCAGTGTCTCTCAGACAAGGCAACTGACTTTAAAAGTTTATTTCCTTTTTATTGTAAATTGTATACTTCTTCGTCTTTGAAGGATATTTATTGATGTTAGTTGCTAATGGAGGTGAATAAACAAGGCTTCTTTTTTCACATTTCTTGCTCCATGTTGCATGTATTCGAAATGGAATTAAGAAAATGAGCAAAAGCAACTTCACAGATTCACCAAAAACAGAACGTCAGTGTAACTTACACATTATTTTAGTTGTGCACATGATTTTGGGTGTAAGTGTGGGTGAAGGTGTTAATATGGCTGCGGTTGTTAGTATGTTGGGTGTGCGTGTCGATCATCACAGTCACGCTCATACCAACACCCACACTCACACCCTACATGAGACAAGCGAATGGGTGAGTGACAAGAAAATCCTCATCTATCGAAATTGTAGACAATGTTCATCGAGAGGTTTCAAATAAAAAGTCTGTGTTGCATTAAGAACACACACATAAAAGTAGATTCTTTTGAGAAATCAAAAAACGTTGCTTGCTCACTATTATAACTCAAAGAAAAAAAATCCATCTTCATTGTATTCAGTGCATCGTATAAATCATTCTTCCTAGGTGAAGCAAAGATTGACTAATACGCAATGTTTTATTTGCGTCGTTTTTGCTGAATGACAATTTGTTTGCACACGGTATCTTTAAGTAGTTCCTCTCACTAGAATTGTAAAAGTTCTCAAAACAATCAGCGAATGGCGCATTTTCTCTACTGTCAACAATAATATTTTTTCTCTTACTTACAAAAAAAAACACGTTACAAATTCAATATTCATATGAAAGGAAGTTGTGTCAACATTGTTTAACATGATATTTCAGTGCCATTGCGAAAGGATATTTTTTTGCAGCATTGCTGTGCAGAATAACGAACAGAAATGCCAATGAAAGGCATTCTTAATCTTCGATTGTCATATTGTGAAGATCTATTCATGCGAGATAGAATAGAATGCTGCTTTCAACTGTTGCATCATCAATATCTGAGTAGTATCAAGTGTTTTGAAAGTTTGCACGAAAAGACAAATTTGAACACCTGTAAAACAGTTCAAGTGATATATACAATGGTTTGCAAAAAAACTTGGACCAAACTGACAGTATAAATATTTTATATTTTCTAGATTCCCTTGAGCATTTATTTTACTGTTATTGGAAATAAAAGAAAAACATGAGCGTTAATTCATTCGAAATTTTGTCTAACGATATTCTTTATGAAATTTTTGCTTATTTGTCTCTAGTTGATATTCTTCAATCATTGTTTTTATTGACTAAACGTTTATCAAGAATCATATCAAATGAATATTTATGGAACATTCATATTGGTGATACAACAATGTCATTATTGATGTTTAATGATCAATGCCAAAATATCTTAAAATTAATAGGTAATTGGGTTGTCTCATTACGTCTAACATTAATTGATATTATTGGTGGATGGCCACTCGTTTCATCTTATCTTCAGTATCATCAGATATCATTATTTCAACGTTTACATCTGATTGGCATCGAACCACATGAATTTGATAAATTATTGCGTAATCACGTAATAAGACACTTACATACTTTATTAGTTGATGTGACACCATCTAGTTCGTTTAAATGTCTTCAAGTTGAAGGAGTTTATTTAGCTAAGGTAAGAAAAGAACTACTACTTCGATTCTCTATGGAATTCTGATTTTTTTTTCTATTAATAAAAACGTATTGATATAACGATATATTAACTCTAATTGCTTTTAATTTATTAATAGGTGTGTTTAAGAATGCCTCTTCTAAAAATTTGTCGACTTTCTTTTGATCATAATTATAAGAATGTTAATCAAATAGAAAATGGTTCATTAGAATATCAAATAACTTTACCGAATTTATTAAATACAAATCATCTTCGTACATTGACTATTGGTATACATACGTCACATTTTCTCGAGCGTTTACTATTATGTATACCATTCATTGAGAATCTTTCTTTCAGTATAAAAGATCGAGATAGTGATGAATATGATACACATGAATTTTGCTTTTATCTGGTCACATTTTTTGTTCGTCGATATCTGTAATTTGCATGGGGAAGTAAACTTTCATCATGATTTACTTTATCAGACAAATAAATAAACTACATACTATATTTTTTATCTTAAAGGTATCAATGCGTGTCTTCTTGATTGCGAGCGATTTTTCTTAACTGGAGGAAAAAAATGTCCTCAAAGCGGAATCAGGTGGTATAGACAAAAATGACCGCATTTTGAAAATTGTCCGCGAAGCAGAATCGAGGTAGAGAGGTGGAAATGTCTGCATTATAGAATCGAAAAAAAGTAGAAATCGTAAGAAAATTAGCACAGACAAATCGATTCTATTGACGATATCATCTCTATCGAACTGGTGTAGCGCTGGACGGACGGATGTCGTCTAGATCATTTTTTTTCACTCTATACCGTGAACAAAAGTATTTAAGGAGATAGAAATAGTGGAAAGCATTTAATAAAAATGTCGATAGTGAACCATGATAACATTTCTTTCATTGCCATACAATCTGGTAAAAATGGGATAACGTTTAAAAATTATCTTTTTGGATTAAAACGTACGAATAAGAATGGAAAGCTATGCAATGCTTTAATTGTCATGCGTGAAGGCTTAATTGTAAAAGCTTCATCTATTAAATCAGATGGAAGCCATGAATTTCAACATCAGCGAAAATTGGATGCAAATGTATATGAATGTATTAGATCAATAAAATGAAGAATTGATGAAGATCCTGGAACACCAGTATCTGTATTATATGAACAGCAAGTTAAAAAATTCAGACGAGAAAATGGTGCAGCTGGATCAGTTCCAGTATTCGATCGTGGGAAGTCTTGCTTATATGAATATAGATCATCAAAACATCCACCGGTTCCAAAATCACTTTCATCTATCGAAGTACCATATCGACTTACTCGTACATTAATGGATGACCGGTTTTTATTAAATCACAATCGTATTGCAATGATACTTACTTTTTCTTCATTATCAGCTATGAAACTTCTTGGAAATAATGAACATTGGAAGGCCGATGGGACGTTCCGAACAGCTTCCAGATTATTTTACCAAAGCTGTAGCATCCATGTATGGGATGCATATAGCATGAAGTCTGCCATCTATGCTGCTTTACCAGACAAAAAAGGAAATACATATGATAATTTATTACAAGATGTAATTTTGTATGCCAAAAGCTATGATGTTAAACTTGCACCAAAAACTATTTTGATTGATTTCGAAGTAGCATTATATAAATCGTTTTCAAACAATTTTCCAACAGCAATAATAAAAGGTTGTCAATTTCATTTTTCTCAGAATATATGGGGTGTGGATGTGGGGTGTGGGTGTGGGTGGATGTGGGGTGTGGGTGTGGG